TTAGGCCAGCAGGGAGAAAAGTGTGAAAGACCTGACATACTGGGATCTGAAAGAGTTCTGCCTTGTGACCGGGTCCCCTCCTTCGGTCTGGTCCAGGGTGCGGTCACCCGTCTCTAATCCAATTATTTCTATCTCTGTGTGTCGAATCCGACCACGTTTCTCTTTTTTCTTGGTTGAGGGAAGGAAGGGGGGCCCGGGCCCACCCTCACTCACGGGCCCCAGCCCAGGGCCCTAAGGACAGAGACTGCGCTCCAGTCTCGGTCCGGCTGGCGGGGTCGTGCCCCTAAACGCACCAGCCCACGGGCTACTTCACCGCCTTGCCCTGGGCTGCTTCCTTTCTCCCCCACTTTGTCCTCGGGATGCCCTTTACTCACAGGGTCGGCTCCCCCCCGGGAGGTTGTCCCGAGTGCGTCCAGGTCTCTCCCCCCCTTGGGGAAGCCTGGTCCTCTCTGTGCCCCCCCTCCCCTTCTCCAGTGGCTGGCGGGCTTTTAAAGTCCCCGCCGACCTGGGAGGGGTTTACGCGCCCCGCCCCCCTGACGTCTGCCGCGGCGCGTCCTTGTGCCTTCTCTGACCGGCGGGGCTGGGGTGGCTGTGCCACAGCCTTCCTCCAGCTGAGCCGCGGCGCTAATCAGCTGAGCTGCGGGTTCCCTCCGCCTAGCCACGGCGCCACTCAGCTGAGCCGCAGCGCGGGAACAACCGGCGCACCACTGGTATCCGCTCTGCTGCCCCTCTGCAAGGGTGCAGAGTCCCGGATGTTGGGTGCGGGGTCTTGGCACCCCGTCACATGCCTCCTAAAGTTAATTTCAGTCCTATCGTATATGTGACTGTCATCTTGTATTTTCTGTGGTGAAAATGCTTGAGATTTCTAACTCACAATGGTATATGAGATTAATTGATCAGTAGTAGACTTCCATCCAAAAAACGAAAGTAAACCAAACAAACAACAATCCCAGCCCACATTAATTGCTTCTGATTCAAAATACATGCAATGGACAACATGGCACGTATTCAGTTACATGGAAGGAGGAATCGTGATATTATTCCTGTAAAGCTGTTTTAGTGCAGCTGAACAAAGATCATTAAGCCTATCCACTGTTAATGGCTGATCATTGATGTCATTACCCGGAGGTGCTGCAGAACTCATTACAGAAACCACAAGGAATGGGAACAAATTCAAAAACGAAAACTGAATTTGGCTGAGTGCATAATCTATACTGGTATTGATTGAGGGAGAAGCTGCAGAAGAATAAGAATTCAGAGAATTACCTTCAGTGATTTTAGTGAAAGGCCATCCAACAGGACCCATTAAATAGATGCTTTTCAGTCACAGCCGCATTGATTTGATCTTTCCAATGACAATTCAAGCTGCTTTTTCCAATAAAGAGGTGTAGAGTTGCTGATTTGGCATTTTATTTTCTTCCTCAAGGAAAATGGCATTAAATTAAAATTTAGTCTTGTATAATTAAAGAGCATGATAGGCACAAAACCCGTTAATCTTCTTAAAGCTTTTCCAAATCCTTGTAAACTGTGGATCTGTTTACAGTATTAGATTATGAAGATTTTTCCTGCATTCCAAGTTCAAAAGAATACCTTTACTTTTTTTCTACACCCATTTGTGTTTAAAATATATACCATTTGATAGTTTGCAATGTATAAAGTGCATCTATGCAATGTATAAAGTGCATCTATACACTGTATTGCATGGCTTTCAAGTGAAATATTTCTTACGAAATATTTAGTGTTTTTAAGTGATTAACACAAGTTGATGCATGAGGAACTTCTCTCTCAAAAACATTTGTAGTGCTTTCTAATTAGGCTTCTGCTCTAAACACAGGCTTCCATAAATCTGTATCAAATAAATTTGTTTGTATATTTTACTTCTTTATTAAATACTAGCAGAAATACCCAGCGTTACCCAGGGAAAGTATAGTAAAAGGTGTGATGAATGAACTACGTCAATTACATTAATATAGCATATTTTATTGGAAATACTTTTCTCTTAGGGTATGTCTACACTACCCTCCTATTTCAAAATAGGAGGGTAATGTAGGCATTCCGCAATTGCAAATGAAGCCCGGGATTTGAATTTCCCGGGCTTCATTTGCATAAGCGGGGTGCCGCCATTTTTAAATCCCCGCTCGTTCGAACCCCGTGCCGCGCGGCTACACGCGGCACGAACTAGGTAGTTCGAACTAGGCTTCCTAGTTTGAACTACCGTTACTCTTCGTGGAATGAGGAGTAACGGTAGTTCGAACTAGGAAGCCTAGTCCGAACTAGCTACTCCGTGCCGCGTATAGCCGAACTAGGAAGCCTAGTTCGAACTACCTAGTTCGTGCCGCGTGTAGCCGCGCGGCACGGGGTTCGAACGAGCGGGGATTTAAAAATGGCGGCGCCCCGCTTATGTAAATGAAGCCCGGGAAATTCAAATCCCGGGCTTCATTTGCAATTGCGGTATGCCTACATTACCCCGCTAGTTCGAACTAGCGGGGTAGTGTAGACATACCCTTATATATTACTTTAAGAAATTAACATAGCTAGTGAAGTGCTTACAAAACAACAAATCCCATAGGGTCTCTTTTCTCAATCCCCACAAATCAGGAAGGCTCATCTTCCCTTAAAGACTCTATGCTAACCAGTGCCTTCAGCATCCTAGTCAGAAGCCCTGAGAAATGGAGTGGATATCTCCTGGGCTCTGCAGCAGCAGCAAATCACTGCTCCCCAAGTAGCCACTCCCCGAGTGCCTTCAGTGCATGCTCCATAGAGCAACTTGAATGGACTTCCTAGAAGCAGCTGGTCTGCTTGCATTGATCAGACAAAGCAAAACACCTTCAGACCAGGTGCAATTAGTGAAATCTAGATGATCAGAACATGTAGTGCCTGAACATAAAAGATTTTGTGTGCTCCAGCCCTGCAGTGGGGTGGCAGTGGGACTGCTCAGGCTTTCCAATACTGGGGAGGAGCCTTGGGGACCAGATCCAAGCAAGCTGGGGGCCAAATCCAACCCCTGGGCCTTAGGTTCTCCACCCCTGTAATAGACTTAGTATGTGCTCATTTTGCTTGCTGCACGTTGGGTTTTGCCAGAAATTAGAATTATTAGTTAGAGATACAAAAGGACAATTTTTCCCTTCAAGTTTCTCCTATAAAGCTTCTCCATATTGAAACTATAGGTGTCTATGAGGGCAAAATTTGTTTCCCATTGGGTAACATGGGTTCAACTCTCATCGGAATAATTTCACATGTTCAAACTGTACAAATTTGTGGTTGTATAACTGAGTGGAAAGAGCACGTCCACACCTCAAAGTGCATCACTTTTGTGATGCGCTTTTGTGCAAGAGAGCGTCCACACTGCACGGACGCTCTTGCGCAAGAAAGCTCTGATGGCTATTCACAGAATGTCCATCAGAGCACCTGCACTTTTTCAGATAGGCTCTTTTTGTGCAAGAAGGATGGTCAGGAAAGTTTTAATTTGCATTGTGTTACCCTCTGTGATGCAGTCAGCCTTTCCCAGTATTTTAAAAGGTAGCCAACTCTTCTGTGACTGTAGCACCAGAAGAATTAAAGTGTTTCCTTTGATTACTGCAGATTTTTTTTTCTTTCAGAAAGTATGGTGTCCAATCTCAGGCTCTTTTATTTAAGTGAGATTTTTTGCATGAGGGGGAAATTCTTTCCTCTTCTGTATTGTATACCTTGCCTGTTGATATATATATTAAGATTTATTAGCCTATCACCTCTGAAAGAATGTATGGGTACAAATGACAATCAGCAATTGAAGTAAAATGCATTGGCTTGATGTAGCGAACATGGTTAAATTGTCTGAACCTGTTTTTCCACTGCATTGCAACTGGTGCAAAATGGATGTAAAACATTACTATATTAGAATTCTGCTCTCATTTACACCATAAGAGTGTTTTACATGTGCTTTGAACTAACTTTGCACAGGTGTAAATGACTTTACAAGGGGCAAGGGGATAGCTAATCATAGTATATAATTCCAGCTATAATTAAGTTCATGGCACAAATCCAAGATCCCACCATAGTTTCCAGTAGACTACATGAATTATATTCTAGAAGTGCAAGATATATTTTTCTCAAAGGTATTGTCTACTTTGGGACTATAGAACAGTATACTACAATAAAAAAACATATCCCCTAATTTTGATCTGAGGAAGTGGGTCTGGCCCACGAAAGCTCATCATCTAATAAACCATCTTGTTAGTCTTTAAAGTGCTACATAGTCCTGTATTTTATATCCCCTAACACATCTTCACTAGTATGATGCCGTTAGTATGAATAGGGGAAATCATATTTATAAGCTTCGTAGCTGGTTGTGGTTTACCTGGTTTTAGCATTTAACCTAGCAACCTGTTTCTGAAAATGGATTGTTTCTTTGTATGCTAAATGGTCAATTGTATTCAACATTATAAGTCCAATGATGTTAATATGTTCTAATGTGATGCTATTCTCTCAGTATAGATGTGGCCAATGAAAGTTTCATCTGTATTACTTTGGACTTGCCTGCAAAGGGAGTCAGAAAAGTTAAAAGTTAATCCTGACAGGATTAATTCACATTGAATTAAGGCCACTTCCTTCCTGAGTGAAAGCATACACAAGAGAGCTTAATGTGCTTTAATTTATGTGAATTTAATTTACACTTTTAGTTGATTAAGTTTCTGAAGTGTGCTTGTACAGATACAACCTTAGAAAAATAATTTAATTTGAATGAAATGATTGATTGAGCTGTTTTGTTGTTTTCTGAATAGATTTTAAGTATTGTAAACACATATTACCTTGTTTATTATAAGAGTTATTCGTGATGACATTCAAATTAACTATAAAAAAGGCTTAGTGGGTTTTGCCTACGAAAACTCATGATAACTATATATATTTTTGTTAGTTTTTAAGGTACCACAGGCCTAATCATTATTTATGAAAAAAGGCTGTATTTCATGTATTTTGTTTTTAAGTAGCAGAGATTTTTAATCTTTTTTTTTCCCCCTCAGGAAAAGAAGAATATATTGCAACATTCAAGGGATCGGAATATTTCTGCTACGATTTGTCCCAGAACCCGATACAGAGCAGCAGTGATGAAATAACTCTGTCATTTAAAACTCTTCAGAGGAATGGACTGATGCTTCATACAGGAAAATCAGCTGATTATGTCAATCTTGCACTGAAAAATGGAGCTGTCTCCTTGGTCATTAATTTGGGCTCAGGGGCCTTTGAAGCACTGGTGGAACCTGTGAATGGGAAATTTAATGACAATGCCTGGCATGATGTGAAAGTAACCAGGAATCTGCGTCAGGTAACAGTACAATGGATACAAGAATAACTGACTGTTTCTGCTACAGCTAAATGTGTGATGATTTGAAATCTGAACACTGTGACATTGGATGTTTAGTAGACATTTAAAGAGAATTTTTAATTTACACAAATAGGGATATTCCTGCCACACTTGAGCAGGGGCATATCTAGAAAGTAGTGGTGGAAAGTGGCTGTTTAAATGAGACAATATAATAGTCAGATATTTCAAAAGACTTCAGGCATCATGCACACATTTCTCTTGGACAATTTTCTGTCCTCCCAGACTTATATTAGTCACTGTTCCATACTGATAATTATGCACATAGCATTTATTTCTGTAGCTGAATCACAGCTTTTAGTCTAAAGAAACTTTTTGTTTCTTCTTCTCCCTCCCCCTCAAAAAGTAGGCAGTAAGTTCATTCTCAAAGAAACCCTCATATATTTTTGGTGGCATTTTCTGTCTCATAGCCACATCTAACTGAACAAAACCAGCAACACTAACAAAAGCCTGTAGGATTCAAATCATTAATAAAGTGCATGTCTATATTGGGGTCATTTTGTATTTTGGTAGTTAATCCTTGGGGAATGAATGAAATTCCAAGTATGTGTATACACCAATTAAACTTTTTATCATATAAATATATAGTGTATACTCATATGT